GGGGATGCTTACCAAGAGACGAATTCCTCACTATATAGAATCACTATCTGTCACGTATTTCAAACCACATACAACATTTTTCACAATGTATCTTATTAAAATATCTTGATCAGCGAAAAGCACCAAACAAATTTTTCACCACAAAAGACAAGAATAAAATGTAAAAAATTGTAGGTAAAACTTTGCACTCGAAATAATCAAATACGATGTATCCTGATGTCGTGTAAACTTGCACATAAAAGTACATGTGGGAGGTATTGTTAACGAAAAATACATGATTCGACGTACAACGACAGAAAAGCAAAGTGAAAACACCTGAGATACTCAATATAATTTAGTAATATACAGCATTATGATTATACACTATCACATCGCTTTATGAACACGATTCTTCGTAAGAAGCCAGTTTTTCCTAGGTTACTTTTTGCAGACCGTGTCAAAGTTTCCGTGACTGGCTTAACACTAGGAACTGGAGCAAATACGACACTTTTCTTCGACATGGCAGGTGAAGTCGCTTCGTTAAAAACGGAGACATAATGACCTGAAAAACTGAATAACTTTATACGACAATGGCCATGACACGTTTTTATGCTTCAATCAAATGTTAATTGTTTAAACACTAGGAGAATTGTTCAAAAAGATTTACGGAAACGGAAATGAGTCGTCTTAAATCGATAAAGTTAACACTGAGTGCTATAGAGAATAACGGAATGAAGCATAGTTGTTTTGTTCACCACCGTAGTGTCAACAACTAGCAATTCCTCATCATGGCTTTTCTTAACATTTTACTGATCTTTATATAGTATGCTTTTCATGAGTTGAAACGAAATCGCTATTGTCTCGCATCTTACGATGAAAAAAACCAAATTTTCACTAAACTTATTTATGTTGTTCTAACAATGTTGGTGTGGAACATAATTCTAAGAAAACAATTGACGATACAGCTGTCAAGAAAATCCATTTGTGGACGGCTCACGAAGATTGTTGCGCGCCTCATTACAAATGTAATCAGTTGAGGATCTAAGAAAGCATTTTCTGTACTAAATGATGAAATATCACTAAGCAGACTCCTGTAAGTCTAATTCTTGCATTATAAAATCATCATACGTGCTTTTCAAAACCTGGTATTTCGAACGAGAAAACCGCATCATCGCGAGAAAGAGCACATTTCAAGCTGCCACTGAGCACTTTTCTCTTTTTTATTTATGTTTTCGCAGTCAACCGAATTGAAGATATTGATTTCAAAAAACTCATGGTTTGCCATAAGAATCCCACTGTACGTTATGAAAATGAAAGTAGGATAAATAAAAACGAACTGCTGCTGACATAAGAGATAGAATAGACAGGACTGCGAAACGAATTCATATGAAGAAGATCTCTCGAAAATGCTAAATAACATTCTAAAATAAGACCTTTTCATAAATGTCCAGTTTTCTGCTTGGAAAATACAGGGTTTCAAAAGGATAATCGGCATTGTCGCCACTGCCGATAGCCTGATTGAGGTCTCTTCTATTAGATTTGTCATTCACTGGCCATTCAACCCTCTAAGTGGCAGTAGAAATCCAAATTTTATTACATAACTGCGACATGACCATTGAAGCGCGCGCTTCCAGCCGCTCTTCTTATCCTTCTGGACCGCTCGCGATCCGAGAATGGCCAATGCTCGCAAGGGAGGTAAAGGTGAGCTACATTGTTATAAGCGAAAATAAAGATTCTCACAAGGTCAATAGAAAATTATTGTTTCAATAAAGCGAGAAAATAATGTGAACACTCGACTCTTAACCAACTATTTTTGTCGTTCACTGGTGGACTCGCGTTATTCCTGCGCACGAACGAAGTAAACTGTGAGCTGTTTGCTGATAACTTCACCGCATTGAAATCTTCATCTGAAGCAAGAAAACGCCAACCAAGAAGGCGCCGTAATGAGACACGAAAACGCCTGAAATCAACCTATTAGAATCAACTCCGCTAATCAGAGCGTCTAAAATCAAAATATCATGTCACAAGGACCTTATTTTTATGGGATGAGGTGATCTTTTTTGTTTACACGACTCACTTAACATCTGCTGTAATGATTCCTGCATGTCTTGCACATAATTTGTTACTTCAACTCCCAAATGCTTTACTGCCTCATCGTTGCTGGGAGGTGTTCCTAGGTGTCGAGCTGAGCATCAGAGCAGAACGTTTAATTTTCAGCAAAACTACTCAAGCTGGGAAGGAGTCCGCCGTTTCCACCCGGAAAGCTCAGCTAAGAGTGAAACGTTCCAGGAATGACTGTTAGTCGCAAGGTGTTAAACCCCTCTGAGTCACAAGAGCCAGCGATTGCTTGGTGTAGTGACCACCAGTGGAAGGCACTACTCAGGCTGTTCTTGGAAGTTCAGAAAACAAAAAATTTGCTTCTTCAGCAAGGGAATTTCTGTCTTATACCCTGTACACTGAGAGCTATTGACTACGACGTCGGGCGGTGAGACGACCGGTGGGAGACAATCAAATCAGGCATACATGCATACATACACTGCTTCTTGCTTTGCACCTATAACTCCAGAACAGTCTTTTCAGACGACCCTTACGCACTTTTAAAGCTGCTGGTCATATTGAATTTTATGTGATCGCCCTACAAGAAACGAAAGGAAGGAAAATCAACATAAAACAATCAGATGGCGAAACCCTCGTAATCGTACAGCGACGTTGCCGTCACTAAATTTTAGAGGTGTCGGCTATGTCGTTCACTCGCACGTTTACCATCTAATCATTGCGTATGAAGTCCTATCACTGGGCCTGGACAACGTTCGCCACAAGCTTCTGCGTCAAATAGTTGGTATTACCAACTGTTGCTTACCAAATTCTAAAGCTGATGAGAGCAAAATAGACGCAATCTACAATTGGACGAAGTCATCCGTGACAAATGTCCTTCCACAAGCTCGTTGTTGAAGGCTTCAATGCCAGATCAAGAAGGGGAAGTAAAATTAATTCGAAAAAAGAATTTGGGAAGGAAGAACGAAGTGAGTAAGAGGACCATCTTGCAGGACTTCTGCCCACCACAGGTCACATCCATGGCAGCTCATTTTTCAAGAAAAGAGGAAACCTCCGATGGATATAAGAGTCTCCCACTGCACTACTTACGCGAAGATCATAAAGTTACAAACAGAAAATTATACTTTGATTCCGTAGTGGTACTTGGATTTTTTACGGATATGGTCACCGCCTTTTGCGTATAAAAATTTGTTCAAAAAGTGTTTTCATTGACCAATAGAAGCAAAACAAGTTATGTACGACAAGAACGTTCTCAATAAAACCTCTTCTCGTATACTGGAAGATAAGGGAAATCTGATTGAAGATTGCGAACTGCTCGTTGATGGACTCACTGTGACAAACTAGCAGCAGTTTCCCCAAGAAAATGTCCACATCTCATTTTCTCTACCGCTAAGGAGTTGCTCGAAAAGAGGAGGAAATAAAAACTTGATCCCTCTGTAATCATGTAACTAGGCTGAAGTATAAATATTAAGTGCAGAGGATCTTTGTAAATATATGTGCATCGATGTATGCAAAAAAATTTATGATAAACAGCGCCAACAAGATCTAGTCTGAAGAAATGCTACCGGAACTCGGCAATTATCACGTTTTCTTATCCGTGCCGATGAATGAACATGGAGCAATACTATATCCGGTTCCTTCTCATTATAGGGTAACAAATGAAAAACCGATCACATTCGTTGAAGAGGAAATTTCCATAGGGGTGTTGGTAACTATTCGAAAGCTGCGACTTCAGGCTACCGCCCCACATCGCTAGTTTTAGAAAAACCCTTTTATGTGGTGTGATCTCTACGCAAACTGGCGTATATTTTTTGCCGATAAGAGCTCTTTCTTTGGACTTTTAGTATTCATAAAATAGCGTAGTGCTTCCGGATGCCAATGTTGTGCTCATATCTCGAAAAAACTGTTTCACTGCAATGCAGCAAGTAAAATAATTTGAATTCAATGCGTGGGAAAGCACTATTGTGGGCCATTCACGTCGCGGTGGGTGTGGCTATCACGTGACTACTGATGCAATACTTCGCTGACGAAGTACTCCTCTAAGCGTTCATAGGATCGAAAAAGTATTGGCATCAGCAGGCACTACGTAAAACGTGTGACTCTGCTACAAAAACACTTTGAATACTTTTATTTCGCCATGAATTCCGACATCAATTATCATTATGATTTCTTTTCTGGAATTTGGGAAGCCAGAACTTCTCAATTGTTTCCAACAGTGGCATCATCATCTAATCAAAATTAAAGATTACAATGGAGACTAGGAGGCTCAATCCACCGTGCAGACCAAGTGATCTACCGCACTGCGTGGTACACATGTGGAGTGTTATCTCCAGATCAAACGAATGGCTGCGATACTAAAGATCTCCTCCACAGTTCATACGCTTCAACAACTCACCTTCATAATAGAAAATCAATCGATCGTCGCGTCAGCAGCTATTCACGTGGACGCCTTTGCCAGCCAGTCTCGAGTGGCCAACGGCCACCCCCTTGCAAATGGTAATTCAGCTTATTTTGCCTGCTGCGCTTCGGAGGCGTTTTTCAGGATATAAGCACATTGCTGGTTTGAGAAACGATTGTGCTATAGAATGATTACTAATACTCCAAAGGAAGAACTCTGTCAGGTGATAAATATGCTCGTCTTCTACGCAAAAATTCTCTCCCTGTAGCAACGTCAAAAAAGGCTTTTTGAAAGCCGGGCGATGAGGAGCAGCAGCCTGAATTCTCAGCTTTCGAATGTTTACGATCACTTCTACGAAAACTTCTTCTCCATCATATGAGGTCGGTTTTTCATTTGTCCCTTTACAATCAGAAAACAACCTATATCCTGTTAAGATGTAGAACATATATTTAGAAAGTTCTTCAACAAACTTTTCTGTTATTCGAAATTTCTGGTAATTTCCTGCATTTTTTGCAATGTCATGATTATTCATATATTCCTAAGACAACTGAGTGGTGAGCAAACATACGGCCTCAGCCGGGAATCAAACCCGCGTTTTATCCTATCCGTGGATGCGCACTCTACCACTACACCACCGAGGCACATTTGCCCGGCCACTCGTTTTCAACACTTCTACGTTAGCTATCAGCCACTAACCTTTAACAGGTTTGGTCGGGTATGCGATTTCGCTTTATAAACCCAGTTGAGCTGACAACCAAAAAACTTTCCTGTTTTACAACGCCCGTTCCGAACTCGAATTTCCCACCGGTATGATGCCACCCAGGATTCTAGAATCTGAAGTTCGTGGCGACTGAAAGCACGAAGAGAGTCACAGCTTTCGGACTTTCTAATATCACTGCCGATTTTCTCAGAGCTGATAGCCACAATCTGCACGTACTTTTTACAAGACATTTGACATCATCTTTCCCGAAGGAAAAAAATTCAGACCAATGGATGCTATTGCACACAGGCATCCTACCTAAAAACGGTGACAGAAGGAATCTTTATAACTAAGCTTGTTGAGTGCATTCCACGAGCTTTTCGCGGATGTCATTCTTCTGCGCACATCGGAGATCTTGGTTGAGGCACAGCCAGTTGAACAAGCAAGATTCCGTAAGGGGTTCTGCTGTATGGGCCACATCTAGACCGTCTCACGAGTTACTTCTGTCATGAAAATGCTTCTTATTCTTATCTCTACTGACTATGAGAAAGCGTTTGACAACGTTGTAGCGAATACAATCCCATCAGCGCTTAGCGACCAAGATGCAAGCCCGTCCTATAGATGAACTTTAGCTGACTGCTGTTGAAACTTCAACGTAAAAATACGGCTTTTCGTTGACCTCTCACCACATCCATAGAAAAAAGGGTTTGACAAGGCGACACTATATCGCCAAAGCTAGTTACCGTTGCAGTGCAGTGGATTATGAAGTTGCTTAATTGGAACGAGAAAGGCATACGAATTGATGGGGAATGCTATTGAGCCTCCGTTTTGCGGACAACATTGTCATCTTTTCAAAAGTAGAAGTGAATCAGAGACGATGCTGAGTAAACTTGACAAAGCGAAAAAAAGGTTGGACTACTCATGAACAAGACGAAGACACAGTTCATAAGGAATCCATGGTACGAACGTGAGGAAATCAAACTGGATGTTTCTTGGACCAGGCAGACCACCTCGTACGAGTACTTGGACGTTCAACGACCGTGGAGAACAAAATGAGGGAAAAATTAAACAAAAGAAGGAGAGCAGCATAAGTCGCATTCACCGAACACATAGCGGACCTCAAACTCCTTGATCACCTTTTCCATTCGACAGCCCTCCCAGCGCTCTGTTACGCAGCAGAGACGTAAGCTGATACTACAACCAAGTCAAGAAGTCTGCGTACCACCCATAGAAACCTTGAGCGAGCTCTTTGGAAAACAATCGGCACTTACAACAGCGACTTTGCGCAGCTCCAATCCTCGAAAACAATTCCATCTTCATGATTTAGAAGTATACACATCGATAGCGAAACACAGATAAGTCATTCATTCAAGAAGACCAGATGATAGATAGACGACAAGAACAATGGAGTGAACCCCAAAAAAATTCAAGCGCCCTCTTTGATGACCAACCAAACCAAGGGTGGACTTGTTTGTGGCTAATGTCAAACATGTGTATCCGCAGATGGCAATGAGTTTGCAACGAAGGAATTTTAGGCCTCGCGTACGTCATCGTGCTCGATGCAGACCACCAACATGGATGAGAGTTGCGTGAGACAGAAACGAATTTTAACTATGCTCGGGCCTGCACTACGTGTGAAGACAAGCCGTCCAAGTATCTAATCAAGTAAGTAGTCCGTTACTCCGCATCATCACTCTAGTATTCCGGTCTTGAGCGGAGTTAGATGACATTTGAAGGTTTTCGTCTTCTTCATGAACGCCGATGTAAATTGGATGGTCGAGCTGTATCGTTCCCACGTGCTTCTGGAGGAATGTGCCTGTCTTACACAAGTGCGATATCAATTTTCAAGCTCACAACGAGTGAAAGAATGTGTTGTCGAATCGGCGACTTTTACATAATGAACGGAATCACTATCACTCACTGCGTGACCCGTCTTTTGCTTTACTCATTGGATTGCCCAGATATCATAGTGAAACCACCGATTTCATGCACGAATTAATCCTTGAAATTGCATCAATAGCGAATCCTCATTTGCTAGTAAGATTTTACACCTTGATTTAAAAAAATCTGAAAACTATCTAAACCACAGTAAAGGCTAAATGCTCTCGGCGACTATTAATCCTTGAGGAATGACACACTATACGTTCGTCTCCAATTTTTAGCTTCGTTTGACGTGACTGAATGCACATCTGGCCTCTACAATGACTCATGGGGCCTACTGATATATCAAGTCAGTGCTGCTATCCTCGCGAACAAATCTGGTACCAACCCACGGACAATGGAGCAAGGGAATGCTTGGTGGGCCTTAAGAGCGTGGTCAAGCATGATCACCAATTGATCAACCACTTGAGCGCCCCAGAGCACTCTTAATCAGCGCGCCACAAGCGCTCTTTATGCCACGTATATTTTTGTAATTCTAGGACAGAGGAGTAACTGAGGATTCATTATGACTTTAAAATTACGCAACAGTGGTGTGAAGTTCCTCTTCTTTGATATAGGCGACTTTCGTAGTTTTATCCAGCTTCAAAAAAAAATCACCTTGACATGAACATATAGACAGCAAATGATATTGGATGAAGTGTGACAAGTATGATATTCGAGAAAGCACGAAGATAGACTGAATGGGCGAACTCCAGTGACCCAAGTGGCAATAAGTCAGACAGCTTCACCAGGATGATTAAAATCGTTGACGGAGCTCTGAAAAAATTCTATAGAGCATCATCTCACAAAATCGTAAAAATGATTTCTTATAAATGTTCCCTGAGTTTCGGTCCGTCCGTACTCTTCTCTTCTGCTCTTCAAAGCATTCTAGACAACGCTTGGTTTCCGGTCCTTACGGACTTGCTGACTCTTGTATGCGTGAACGATATGTACTGCGGCATTTACTACATGTTGCTGTAGTCCATTATTCAAAACATTGTTGCTATCGTTTGCAGGTGTTTTGCACTTCATGAGTCTCTATCTCAGTATTTTTTCCCACACATATTTTGCGTAGCAAATATGGTTTATTTTAGCGATTGGACATAACACCGTGCCTAACTTTCTTGTTCGAGAGAGTTTTTTGTCTATTTCCAAGTGTAAACAGAGTTTCTTCGGCTCTACGTTTCCACTATCTGTGCTGGACACGTTATATACCGAATACCAAAAGTAGGAGGTAAAGAGCTCTATGAGCCTAGATAAAAACGGCCCATCTGTGGCTCACACTTGGTACTCGACGGGCGTCTTTGGACACTATAGTATCCATACCGGACATTACAAATTAAAAGCTTCCTCATAAGTTTTAGCACTAAAGTAATAAACGCCAAATATGATGATACACATAGATTACTGGTAGTCTCTTGATAGCCCGAATCTTGACAATTTTGATGCTAAAACTGATTTCTAAAGTTTACACTTGAAGTAGTTAGCTCGCCGCTTGAACTTTACATCGGATTTATTCTGCAGTGTGGAATAAAAATAACTGTAGCTATGGAACGATAGGACAAAGTCTCTTTTACAGTCTTTACACAAAAAACATGGAAATTTTTCCGGAAAGGGGAAAAAGTTTAGATTAAATGATGCTGTGCGCAGCGATTTCAAATACCGCCCCAAAAAAAGCACGCTATTCGAGAGCCGCGTGATTTTCTTCTGAAATTTTTCTCCCTTTCCAGAAAAATGTCCGATTTCCTTGTACAAGAATTGTAGAGGAGGCTTTTTCTATCGTTCTACAGATAAAAAAAAATTTTTTTCGTTTCACATTGCCAAATAAATCCGATAAAATTCAAGCTACAATCTATATAATATTCCTTATGCTCAAGAACTAGTTTTAGCGACAAAATTGTCGATATCCAAGCTATTGAATGACTACCGGCAACTCATGTGTAATATTAGAATTGGTGTCAATATCAAAAACATATGAAAAGACCTAGTAAAAGAGGAATTCTTTCCAAACAATAGTCTACGGTCCAATCTCAACTTGAACTTTGGAAACATGACTGCCATCATTCATGCACAGTGCAAATACACTTTAAACGCATATATTTGACCACACAAAGGATAAAGGAAATGAAGTGCTTCGTTCTAGCCAAATTCTTAGAGTCAGACTATGCAATCAACTTGATTTCAAGCATTCTTTACCGCGTGTGGCGTAATGATCAGAGGTACTCTTTGACACACAATTGTTCGATCAGTCGATGGTCAATAGTGTGATACCGCGCTTAAAGCTATCAACCTTTCCATTCATCGAGTTCGATAAATTGGTATCAGACTTATTTGGGAGGATAGCTTTGCTGACTTGATACATTGGTAGGCCACCGCGAGTCATCATAAAGGCCACATAGGCGTTTAGTCACCCGAACGATGCCAGATGAAGATGGAGCATTGCATATCCCTAACGGATTGGTCAACGCCAAGAGCTCTACCTTAACCTTTATCCAAGCATCGCAGAGGTTTTTAACGTGTTTTGGCCTATATATGACTTGTGGCGTCTATCGCTATGCCAAGTTTGCAACTTTATCCTTCCAGACAACTTGTTACCAAATCGTCATCCTCTGGTAGATGATGAGTTTGTTCTGAAGGTGGTGCAAGATCGAACCAATAATTACCTTGTATAATTCTTGAGAGGGCGCATGTGGCGCAGTGGTTAGAGGTGCCCTGCGTCGCACACGAGGTCAATGGTTCGATCTCGCGCTCATGGCTCACCAAGCCATTCATCCCTCCGGGGTCGGTAAATTGGTACCAGACAGGTCTCAGACTTGTCTGGGAGGATAAGCAGCACTAACTCGGTTCAGCGGGAGGCCTCCGCGAGTCATTGTAAAGGCCAGATATGCATTCAATCACCTCAAACGAAGTTAAAAATAGAAGTCGGATGCATGGCGCATCCCTCAGGGATTGATCAACGCCGAGAACTTTATCCTTTATCCTTTTATAATTCTTAAGACAGTCAAATATAGAGGTATTGCT